TTAAAAGATGTGAGTGTAGACGTGTAGCACTAGCCATAGGGTGAGTTGTTTGTGGAGAGAATATCAATTGTTGTTTTGGTGTTGTGTTTGTTGTACTCCAATTGATATTATAGTGAAAAGTTTAATCCAAAAGGATCGTGGTTTTTCCCTAATTGAGAGGGGTTCCACGTAAAAAATATTGTGTCTTGCTCTTTTAATTTTTCTGCACATATTTTATTCCTTCCATAATATTTTGAGTGTTGTATTGTTATTTGAGAGGGTAATTTTTTCTCAACAATTGGTATCAGAGCTTGGTTAGTTTTCTGGGAGGGAAAATTACCTTTGTGAGTGAGGGAAGTATATTGTGTCAAAAAAAAAACAAATGGCGGATGGTTCCCAAAAATTTCAAATTCCTTTGTTTGATGGGAAAATGAATTTTATGGTATGGAAGAGTACCATTGAAGATTTGTTGGTTCAACAAAATTTAGATGATGCTCTGGAGGAGAAGAAGCCCGCAACCATTGATGATGCCAAATGGGCATTATTGCAGAAGAAGGCAGTAAGTGCTATCCGTCTCGCTATAGCTCCGGAGATCAAGTATAACTACTTGACGGAGTCAGATCCAAGGAAGTTGTTGGAAAAACTTCAAAGTGTATACGCATCAAAATCATTGACAAATATTCTTTGTCTAAGGTGGGAGTTGTACCAACTACGAATGGAAAGTGGTACACTTTTGCAGGAGCATATCAACATTTTTAATCAACTAGTATGCCAATTGAAAAATGCTGATGAAAAGATATCAGACCAAGAGCAAGCTCTACTGCTGTTAGCATCACTCCCAAAGACATACCGACCTATTGTACAGACTCTTCTTGTCGGAAGGACAAAGATTAGTCTAGATGAGGCAATGGCGGTTTTAAGAGAGAATGAGAGGATGATGTCACGAGATGATCTTCGTTCATCAGATGACGGTAAAGCGCTGGTTGTGCTTGGTGCAGAGAGAGGGAGGAACCAAGAGAGAAAAAGAGATGTCCCTAGAGAAAGATCCAAATCTAGGCCTAGTAAAGATTTCAGTAATGTCGAGTGTTACTATTGTGGTGAAAGGGGACATATTCAAAGTCGTTGCGAGATGATGAGAGATGACTTGAAAGCTTTTCGAAGGGCCCAAGAGACAAAGGGAAAGGCGAAGAAAGATGGCGAGGGTTCTTCAAATGTGGTGATAAATGGTGACAGCGATGATGGTGATTTGTTCTTGGCAAGTCAAGATGACTTGAAGAAAGGCCGAGAAAAATGGGTGTTGGACTCAGCAGCATCCGTTCATATATGTAAGGAAGAATCTAGTTTTGACAAACTTTGTCAAGACGGAGAATACGGGCACATCAACATGGGAGGAGGGCAAAAGATGCATGTAAAGGGTATGGGCACGGTCAAGTTAAAGCTTCATAGCGGTGTCACTAGAACATTTTACAACGTGAGGTATGTGCCGGAGGCTCAAACAAATTTAATATCTTTAGGCGAGCTAACTACTCAAGGTTGCAGGTACGTAGGTACTAGAAAGTTGTGCAAAGTGTACCGTGGTGCAAACCTTGTGTTAGAGGGAAAGAAAGCAGAGAACAATCTTTGTTATGTTGAGGGTGCATGGACTAAAAAATGCATGATCGCAAAAAAGGTCCATTTCTTAGACGAGGTTGAAGTATTTGGCCAATTGGGTTGAGGGTGGATTTGTTAGGGTATCTCCTCAATTACCAAATATTAATTATGCTGGAGTTTATTTTATTTTTTAGTAATTAGAAAATAAAATATATATAATAAAATAAATAAGAAAATAAATAAAGGTGAGAAGATAAGAGTGAAAAGAAGAAAACAAAGGGAATTCAAAAAATGGAAAACTATCCTGCAACCATGCATGTGAAGGAGGCCCACTTCCTTACTTCCTTGTTTGAAAGGAATTGATTTATCCCTTATATCTCTTATCTTAGGGTACGGAGTATATTTGCTTGTTTATTTTATTCTTTGTGTGTGTGTGTTTCTTAATATATAAAGGAAGCAACACTCCCTTCTTAAAAGATGTGAGTGTAGACGTGTAGCAC